GAATTTGGATAACAGCTGGCTTCTTGTAAGTTTCATTGTTGTAGCTATGACCACACATGCAGCCAGACATAGAAACCAAGTCAAGCCGAAAAGACATCGATCTATTCGGAATAAACCATGGATGTCGCTGTGCGATATGGTTATTGCATATACCATCCCACATCGCAGCCTTCTCTTCACGTTCCGAGACTACTTCATCACTGCGGCCTGGCCGATGATAAAGTTCAGCAGCGACTCGGGAATATATGTCCCCTACTTGGGTCGATGCAGATGCTCGGTTCGCTGCTTCCAGATTATCCGTCAACACTCGAACGGAGGGAATGACACATTCTCTTTCCTCCATTTCTCGCCCCCCCTGGTCCCAGCCCTTCTCCGGTCGAATTCGGTCTGCACTAACATGTTCCCAATCGAAAGCGGCAAGTGCAGAGCATCTCATAGGGCGAGCATATTGGTCCAGATTTGGCGTCCAAATCAGCGGCCACCATTGAGCAGCCGTGGGGTGAACATCTTTATGTTTGTGCTCTAGCCAGTCAATGAACCTGAGCTTGAGGGCTTCAAGATATTGACAGTACGGTTCGTGACGCGCCGGCGGCTGTGCCGAGACGCTGTCAGGTCGCCGGGAAGGAACGGCCCCTGGCTGCGAATTCATGAATGTACCACCAGCCGAAGCAGTCTTGAAACGTATATGTTCACTCATAACTTATTTGCGCTGATGCTGTTCGGCTTTGCTCAAATTGTCCAGAGCATCAGCAGAGCTCTTGCTCATTGCGCTTAGCCTGTTAGAAATCATCTTGGATATATTCTCTCCTCTCGGGGTGACATCAAGACGTGTTTTCAGTCCTAGTCCCGTCCATGCAGCACTCAACGCATTTTCTCCAGGCGATTGCAAGTAATTCGCTCTGACGTATGTTTTGCACCTGCCAAGGGTAAGGCACTGCAAACAGCATCCCAAACCAGACCTCACGGCATGGTATTGAGCGCAAATGTACCTCCCATCGTCAGTCCACATTTTCCGCATGATGAGGGTCTTTTCTTCTTCGGACAGAGCGCTTTGTTCTACATCGACGAGCTGTTCATCGGAGAAGACCGACGTTCTGATTGCATCAGACGGGAAAGCGACCTCCCACGCAGACCACTCTTGAGAAAGTAGCAAGGTCCACATCACCTGTGGTACGGTGATTCTGCCAACCTGCTCGACCACTTGCAGTTGTACCGTACGCGAAATATCATTGAACGTGCTTGTCCTGTGGTCGCAAGAGTTCCATCGCGACAGATTCGATGCCTAAGGCGAGTCACTACCCGTCCATTAAAGACAACAACATATTGCCAATTCTCAACGCGTGTCACAGCAGCGCCTCAGAAAGACGGGGTGATTGATTGAAGCCAAGCACCCCGATTGGGGGTCCACCGCCGGTAGGGGCATTGCCCTCAGCCTGGTATACCCTGGCGGGTGGAGCCTCACCATCCTTCCGCTGGCTGAGCCAGTGAGGACGCGTTCACCATGTTCCTTCCGTCGGGAACTCGCGCCTCGTCGGTATCAGTCTGAGAAGTCCGAAGTCAGATTGCCTACGCAGATGGCTTCTGCTTTGGAGTGACGCATGTTTTAAAGGATCTGAGTTTGCTCCTCTCAAGGTTGATGGAGTTGGCCCCGATCGCGAATCTTCAGCTCAACTTCGCGAAATGCCAGCTCATTCTTTGTTGTGACACGTCCGAGTGTGACATCGAGGATCTGTTAGTCGGGCTTGGGGCCCTTGTTTCCGCCATTAGGGTCGTCCGCTGGGCCGTCTACCTGGGATTTCCCATTGGGCCATTAGCCGCCCAAGAAGTTTGGCCTGCCGTCCTCCCTGGATTTATGTCTCGTGTTCTATTGACCGGACAGCTCGGCCTCGGAGTTGCTCAGAGTGCGCGTGCCTTTCGTGTGATGTGCGTATCTAAGCTGCTCTTTCGCCTACAGCTGTACCCTCCCGACCGTCACCTCTTGCACCTGTTCGTGAGGGTGTGATGAAGCTCACCTCTGGGCCGAGGAACGCCGTTTCCTATAGCATTGCGAATACATTGAAGGCCATTGGGTTCTCTGCTGAGCTTGTTGACCTCCCAGCTGTTGCGCGTGTCGCTGCTATACGCTATTTTATTCGGTCTCATTGCCTCTATGGAGTCTTGGATGAGCTGGATCGTGCTCGGGACGACCTCGAACACATTCCATATCGATGGCATAGGGGGTGGCGTGAACACAGTTTCTTGGGATATATATATATATATATATATATATATATATATTTCTTGGGATATATTCGTTCTCTCCGCGATTGGTACCTTGGGTTGTCTGTGGGCCTCGCCTCCAATACCTCGAAGCTCCAGATGAAGCTGTATAATCACTTCAGGTCTCTGGAAGACTCTGAGCCTGTTCGGGGCACCCTCCTCAGACGCGCCCACCACTTCCGCCCCGAGGCCCCTTTGCAACAGATTGAGGTGATGTTCCTGAATATTCGGCGAGTGTGCAACGCGACCTCGATGCACCTGGGGATTGCCCCGCTGAGGATGATGACGGGATCTATCTGCGCGAGCGGGAGGTTCCATTCAAATCCGAGGTGTTTATTCGGTTGTCAAGCTGAGAGTTGCCCCGGCTCCGACTCGCTTCGTCATTGTTCGCATTGCCCTCAACTTGAATCGCTTCTCGAACGTTGGATGGGGAGAGCCCTGCGTGTGCATCGTCGTGACATGAGCCTCCACTGGTTTCCCTCTTGCTTCCTTCTCGGATGTGATATCATGTCCGCTCTTTTAAAGCGTGCTGCCTGCATGGATGCCTTTGTTTTTGCTCTCAACGCGGGACGTCTGTCGGTCGCCGCTCTCCTTTCGCTGGTCTTCGAAGCGAGGTTGCGCGCGACCGCCCGTCGTCGCCCGAGGCTTGCTTCTGCCTGGAGTGCCTCTGGCGTTTTCTTTGCTCGGCGGGGCGTTCGGCTAGGGGCCCCTCGGACGCAGGCGCTGCCGCCGCGAGCTCCTGGCGCCCCGCGCGGCAGGCGGGAGCTACCATCCACAGGGCCGCCCCCCCCCCCTTGCCGATGCAGTTGCTGCTCGGCCAGCGCGTCGACCGCCTGGGAAACAGACCTCCAGAGACCCCGAGGGCCTCCATTGAAGAAAAAGTGCATGGCGAGACAGCCACAAACGATTGATGGCTTCGACGTCGAGAGCGGCGGAACGGGCCGCGATTTCTTTATTGCTGGTGCGAAATAACAAGAGATCGACGGTGAGAACCCAGAGATGGCGACGCAACGCGCAGACAACGCACGCGCGCGGGATGACTACGTGAGCCTGCCTGGCGGCGGTGCCGGACGATGTCCTCTTTGCCAGGTCGCGAGGCCAAGGCAGACGCAACGTTCTCTAACATCGACACCAACGAGGAGCGATCCCAATCACAATGACTGCATATCATCTCAGCAAGGCCCACGCGCCCGTTTGTCATCATTGTTCGGCGTGGAGCGGGCTGCGTCATCGTGGCCTCGCCCGCCAGCTTCCGTATGTCAATTACTTTCCGCCCATAGGAACAGCCAGCTGGGGGCATTGCCCTACTATGGGGTCATAAGTGATGGTGTCGTCCATGTCGCCGCCGTAGCCTGAGCCGTGAACGCCCTGACCGTGAGGATCATGCGCAGCCGTGATATTGAGCAGCCGAATCAGAAAGGTGATCGCGCCCGCTGCACTGTTCACGACGGCGTTGGACCACTACTGCTTTCGAAAATGAAGCCCGACCATCTGAGGTCTGGGCGCCCAGACGCGCACGCCGCACGCCTCGTGAGCGATGTTGGCGACCACGGTCCGCTTGGTGTGGGAGTTGCCTGTGACTTCGATATCCGCCGTGTCAAATTGCGCTGCCGTTCATTTCCGCCACAGCGCTGTATGTGTGTGTGTGTGTGAGTGTGTGTGTGTGTGTGTGTTTGTGTGTGTCACCTGCTTGTTTTTTTTTCTCCGCTGGCGCATTCACTTCGCCTAGCCGACGACGCAAAAGAAATGTGTGGGGGGGCATGTAGAGGTGGGGGGGGGCGATGGGCAGAGGTGTCCATTGCCGATTTGTCCTATTTGTTTCTCGATGATATTTCGAGCAGCCAAGGCACTTGCTTGATTTCAACAAGTGATCAAGCGCACGTTGGGCTCGGTGAGCTGGGATACCTTATCACCATGTCGAATTAGACTTCAACCCGCAAGGAGCACCCGCAAGAAACAGTGGGCCCGCCGCACAGCCGTGGCAAAGCGCGGTGACGGATTATTCACGCGCTTGCTAACGTGCGCCGCGAGGTGGTGACCAGTCTTTTTTGTCATTGCTGAGTGGGGCGGCTCTTGTTGTTTGTTTTTCGCGCTGGTCTTGCCAGTGCGCTCCACATACATAAGTATTCGACCTTGATGTTGTTAAGGCCGTTCTTGTCGCCCGTATAGCCTCTGAGCTTTGGGGTGTTCTACTCCCCGACTGTGACCTCATTGTTAGGCTTTGCTTGCTGGCTGTCGTGAGTTGCGTTGTAGCCTTCATTTGTAATGCGGGACAGCAGATTCACCGCTATGTCGAGCTCACCATTACGTAATCCAATCAGGTCTTGATGAAGCGTTTGTCAACTCTGTGTTCTTTACATATCCATTGATACCTGTAAAGGGAGGGCGGTCGCGGGCCCCGAGCCAGCCTAGCCTCGGGCTGTGACCCCGGTCAGCCAGAACGGCTATGGTTATCCTCCTTTTCCGAACGTCTTCCCCCCCAAGCCCACTCCCATTTGCATTATCCTCCTTCTTGGGCCCTGATCTGCGATCGGTCTCAGCTGGCCATTCGTTCGCCCGATGTGATCCTCATCCATCCAGTCGTAGTCGTCCTCTGCAGCCCCATTGGACTTGCCGCGTCTTGATCCACATTGGTCCCACCCCCTGATCCGTGGTTCCTGGACCTATCAAAGCGCTGATCTGTCGATCGATTTGGGTGGAGGCGATCGATTGGGTGTCGAATAGGAGGCAGCAGAGTGCTCCACGCTTTGGGCACATTGGACCGTTCAGATTGTGATCGCGATCAGGCCTTTGATCAGCCTGGATTGGCGGTGCTGACTCCCATGAGGCCCCAAGATGAGGAGGCTGATCCTCCCCTCCCTCCAGTACCTCTGCCCTTCGCTTGGTTCCAGCCCTACCCTGGTCGGCCGACTGGATGCGTCGTGGTGTCTGGAGGCGCCGTCTGGCACTTTCTTCGGCCACCCTCGCGCGAGGACAGAATGGGCGTGCCAGCCGCCGACGCCACCGCCTTCGGTGGGGGATGGGCCGAGCCGGACTACGTGGCGCTCGGGAGAAGCTACGCGCTGGTCGGCCGGGTTGGGGAAGAGTGTACGGCCAGGGTGTAGGTCTTTTCCCCTCCGAGACGAGAGGGATCTCGTCGAGAAGGGGCTGGTATCTCAGCGCGCTCGTTGTTTTGGGAGCACCGCGTTAAAACTGGTGATCTGTCACTTGTGGTTAAAATCACCCAGCCCTGTGCTGGAAAGACGGCAGACCCCATGCGGAGTGAGGAGGTGGAGGAGGATCGCAGACCCTGCTCATGTTCTGAGGTGGAGTCTGGTTCCGTTGGTACACTTTGAGCTGGGTCAAATGGCCACAGCATACTCGACCAACCCTAAGTGCCTCATACTCGAAACTTCTCGTGGATGCAGGTAGCAAGTGCAGACTCGTTACGTGCCCCACCCCACCAGCAGAAGGATGCGCCGTGGGTTTGGAGAGTACGTGGATTTCCGTCCCATCCTATTAGTTTGGCGAAATATTGCCATCATCACGCGGGAAGTTGAGGTACGGAATTGGGGAAATCTTCAAAATCTGCCCCTACAAGGAAGGAGGGGTAGAGCCCGCTCAAACTTATAGATTTGGGGGCCCCTCAGGCTTCCCATGTGATGGCCCCGGGGTAGAGAACACGTCCAACGCACGTCAAACAACAGTAAGCAGCGTTCCGACGAATTTGGGAGAGGGAGCGGGAGGAGTTGTTGCGGACGATGTTCCAAACGAGAATCGGAAACACACGCCCTCCGATTCATTCTGGGGGTTTTCCTGAATCATGAAAAGTTTACCTCGAGCGTCCAATCTCCACCCAATTGTGGACCCCGCTTGGACCCCTGCCTCCAGGTGGGAAACTGGAGCAAGTGGCAGCGCTTCGACGAGCTGCGAATGCAGCTGGTGGACGGCAGGTCGATCTTCGTAGCCGAGGTTGCCGGCTGCGGCAGTCCAACATGTGATGCTTGGAGTAAGCATGCTCGCGTCCTTGCGCGTATGCATGCTGCGCGCCCGATTCTGTACACGAACCGCGTCAACAGTCCGTGCCACCAGCGCGGTGAGAAGAGGCAATGCGTGATTTACGGTTTGGGGCTACAGGATTGATTTCACAGGTCTGCACGCACACGCACGCCCGCGCGTGCGCGCACATGATTTGACAGACGGACAGCATAGCTGCCCGCATACAGCGTCACGTGCTATGCATGCCACGTGGAGGCAACGACGCCTTCGCAGGCATGTGCTCGCCACAACTCGTCGTCGCTCTTCGTTGTCGATCGTCGTCGTCATCATAGTCGTCCTCGTCGTCGTCGCTCTTCGTTGTCGGTCGTTATCGTCGTCGTCGTCGCTCTTCGTTGTCGGTCGTCGTCGTCCTCCTCCCCCTCCTCCTCGTCGTCGTCGTCATCTTCGTCTTCGTCGTTGTTGTCGGTCGTCATCGCTCGCGGGCGCTCGTCGTTGTCAAATGCTTTCGAGCGCATCTGTAGGCCTTCGGATGACCTCCAGAAGGCCTCTGGAGGCTTCCACAGGCCTCAGGAGGCCTCCGGAGGACTCGGGAAATGGCCGGGGATTTCCGAAGGCGTCGCTCGCCGTCGCCGTCGCCGTCGTCGCCTGTCATCGTTGTCGTCGTCGCTCTTCGTTGTCGGTCGTCGTCGTTGTCGTCGTCGCTCGTCGTCGTCGTCGTTGTCGTCATCTTCGTCGTAGTCATTGTCGTCGGTCGTCATCGCTGGCTGTCGCTCGTCGCTGTCAAACGCCGTCGAATGTTTTCGAGCGCCTCTGGAGGCCTTCGGATGACTTCTGGAATGCCTCTGGAGGTTCCAGAGGCCTCGGGAGGCCTCTGGAGGATTCGGGATACGTCCGGGGACCTCTGGAGGCGTCGCTCGTCGTCGTCATCGTCGCCGTTGTCGTCATCGTCGTCGTCGTCGTCACCGTCGTCGCTCGTCGTCGTCGCTATCGTGGAAACGTCTGTGTTCGCAATGGGTGGCTTACGTTGGGCTGCGCCGAGTTTTCCAATGTTCTTATGATATTGGACTACATACTGGCGCTATGTCTCGGGCATCAGGGGGACAATCAAGACCATTGCAGATTCCAGGCGGATGGGCGGGGAGGATGGGCGGAGGTAAGGCGGGAAGGGAGGGCGTGGAGCGGCGGAGGCCGCGAGAGCCATCGCGGTAAGCTGGGCCTCCTTATAATTGGTCACATGCTGGCCTCGATGCGGCGAGGGGATTAGCCCGAGAACCGGTGCCCCGCAGTGGGCCGGACAGCGAAGCGAGCACGGTCCGACTCACACACACACAAGCACACACACAGCAGCCGCGGCACAGCGCGTTGGCAGATAATCTTAGAGTGTTTTTCTGATGTGGCTCGGATGCGTCTCCATGTTCTGTCCCAGGGTGTCACCCGGGCTATTCATTTGAATTCTTGGATGTTTCCTGAGGCTGAGGGTAGCGCTCGTCACGGCTGCCCAATGGGAGATGAGGAACGGCGTGGTCGTGAGTTGGAAAGGAGGAATTTTGTCGGAAGGATCGTGCATGGCGAACGCACATCTGCATCACTCACAAGTACCGGTGCCCAGCGCGAGGTGCCTGTGCCGGGCAATGACGACGTCGAGTTCCAGGTGCTTCGGGGTTCAAGCCTTCCCCGACTGCAAAAAATCTGCCCAGCAGAAACATTGCGAGACCCCCTGCTAAGTGGACCTTCGCCGCGGGGCGGCGAGGGGACGACGGGAGCTCGATTGCAGGTGCTTGCGCTATTTAGATATTGAGATGTAGTTTCAGTTGAGCCAAACTCGCCCCGCCAACCCTAGGGTTCAGTATACAAGTCACTGTTCACAAGACGAGAAGAAACACAGGTCGACAATCATGTAGATATTGCTCCTCTTCGTTGCGTGTATGAGGTGTGTGTGTGTGCCAGTGGACCCCCCGCCGCAGCCGGCAGCTCTGAGTGGCCCGGCTTCCTCTCTTCCTGTCGCGCTTGGGCTCCTCCTCCTCCTTCCGTGTACTGCGGTCTTAATTTGCATACAGCGTGTCACCTGTTGCCTTTCCACCAGAGCAGTCGCCTTCTGCCCAGCCGCCGACGCAAAACTTGTGTGTGTGTGTGTGAGTGCGTGTGTGCGTGTGTGTGTGTGTTTGTGTGTGTGTGCGTGTGTGTGTGTGTGTGTGTGAGAGAGAGGGGGGGCGTTCGGGCCCGACGCGCCCAAAGTGAGCATGATTCTAGCACACATCGAGCAGCACCAGCTTGTGATGTGCCGCCTGCGGAGCAGAAGTCGATGATGTGCCCTTCGCGTCTCCTTTCCCTCCTAAGAAAATCCCCACACACACAAACCTCTCTCAGAGCGCGTTGCGGGCAACAGCTGTTGCGACGAGGGCCCCCCCCCCCCGAATGCCCAGAAGAGAGAGGAGGGCGGCGCGGCACACTCTTTCGCCAACCGTTTCTGCAGCGCCTGCCTGCTGAAGGCCGACCGCGTCCACCTGCGACGGCTGGGGTGTTGACTGCCCCCGCCCCCCGACTGCTGGAGCTGTTCGGAGACCCTCCGACGACTTGTACGGTGTCGGGCAGAAGGACGAAGAGGAGGCGGTGCAGCTCGTATAGGCTTCTTGCGCTGAGGACTGAAATCGCGAAAAGGCGAGACTCCATTAGGGTAAACAGGACCGAGTCCGACAGCTCTCGGATGGCGGTGCGACGGCCGTGTCATCCTGATGCCATGGACGTCACTACTCCCGACGGTTGTCTCACATTTGGGACGTCGCACGTAGCTTGCAATAGCCCATGATTCCGCTTTCCGTTCCGAATAGGGCATGGCCACGGTTGAGCCAGCGACAAGGCGAAGCGATGTCTGTCAGGAATGAGCCACATGAAATACGTGTACTGTGCATGTCCGATCGATGATCCCCTCTTTAGGGGCTCTCAGGCACGTCAGCCCCCACGCCGCAATCTGCAAATCAGATCGGCATTCGTCGCATTGCAGGGCAAGTCTTGCGCCCTTCGGCTCGCTCGTGGTTCGCGGCATCACCTGGCAATTCCACGCGTCCATATCACCAGGCACTAGGGTTATTGGCTTTCGCCTTTTCCAAGGGTGCTCGCCCTTCGTATGTTTCATTCTCCGCATGTTCTCGTCACCGTCATTCTCTTGTGAGTGTCGATTGCATTCGGGCCGTACCCGCTCGATTCCCGCAAGCGGGCCACAGACCCAGTTCCCAGGCTGAGAGAAACATCCCTTGCGAGCTGCAGAAGCGTGCACATGCGCCCGCTGAAGGAACTGATCCTAGTACGTCTCATCTTCCTCTCCCGTCTCTTCGGCGGCTCTCCACCTCTTCTTACGCCTCCTCTTCCTCCTCCGTATTCTCCGTATTCTCCTGCTCTTGTTCCTTGCGCCTCCACCTGGAGTTTGAGGGACACCCCAGCAGCTCGCCCCCTGTGGCCAGCCTTTCGCGGCAGTGCGGCGGGGCAGTGCGTTGATACGGCATGGGCGCCGAGTGGCGCGCCAGGCCCATTGCGAGCTGGCGGAAGGCACGGGGGGAGTGGTCCCCGCTGTTCGGCCAACCGAGCCGTCTGAGAGGTGGAGCAGCTGCGCAGGGCACGGGCGCCAGCAGCAGCAGGGGGTGGGGTCACATTGGCTCAAGGCTCAAGGCGGGAACCACGGAGTTCCCAAGTTTTCGCGGTGACGCCTCACAGAAATTTGCCACGCCCCCCTGGTTCAGTAGCTTCATCTCCATGGAATGGGGTGGCATGGACGGCCGCAGCGTAATGCAGGCGATGGTGGAGGCGGCCGTCTCGGCGGCGGTGAGTGGCACGCTCAGGGCGGTGCAGCCGGCTCAATTGGGCCAGTCGGAGGTGCCGCCGCCGTCAGCCTCCTCGAGGCTGCAGCCGGTGCCGAAGCTACAGCTGCTGCCTACGGCTCTGCGGCGGGGACAGCCCACGCCGAAGCCCACGCCGAGGCCCAGCTGCTCCCCTCGGCCTCCTCCGCTGGCCCTCGAGACGGAGCCGCAGGCGGGGACGGCATCAGGTCTGGGGAAGGACGAGCTGGAGCCTCAGGGTGCTGCCCAGGCCGGGCTGCAGCCCGCTCGCGCTTCGCCGGCCGAGCCCAAGAGGGCAGAGCGCCCGCCTGGGCGCTGGACGCTGCCGAGGGATCCGGGGTCGAACTCGCCTACCTCGTCGGGCCCCAGCTGGCGAGCTGGCCTGGCACAGGTGCGCGCGGGAGCACGTCCGCCGGCGGAGGCCACGCGCGAGGTGAGGACAGATGGAGATCGGCCTCTGGCGGCACCCAGGATGGACAAGCCGATGCACGAGGAGCAGCCGGTGGCGCGTCTTCGCCGGTGGCATCGGCAAGAGCCTCGGCCAGGGACTCGTGGCAGCAACATTCGCTTGGTGGATGCTCCCTCGCCGAGGGCCTCCGAGGACGCCCCTCTGCCGAAGGCCCAGGCTGCCCAGCCACCGGTCGCCGCGCAGGCGCGCATCTGCCGCACCCCCTCCCGCAAACCTCGGCGGGGCCGGCCGAGCGCTCCGAGCCCCCCGCTCCGGAGTCGGTCCCCGCCGTCACCGAGTCCCCTGCGGGAAGTGAGGCGGCGTCGTGCGGCCCGGGATCAGGGCATTCACCATCTGAGCTGAGCGGCGACTTCAACAGCGCCGTGATCTCCGACAGCGACCTGGAGGACGAGCAGGCGCACCTCGATGCTGTTCTGGAGCCGATGGCCGGCGATGGCTCGGGGGCTGGGGATTGGGGGAAGGAGGGTGAGCCCGGTTGTCCTGGTTCTGGGCGGCGCCCTTCGGGCGTCCGTCATATTGGGCGCCCTCTGTCCCGTCCTCCCCCCGAGCCGACCGTGGCTCCTGCTGGCACTGGGGTCGGCACCGAGTTCATCAGCCTCGAGGACCACGACGTCACCACGGATGAGGACGAAGCCGCCACAGATGGGGAAGACGAGGATGCCCTTCCTTATGTTCCAAGAGAGCATTGGGATATTCTGGCGGCTTGGTGGATGGATCTGCTCGAGCCTCTGGGAGTAGTCAGCGCCTGGACTCCATTGCGCTCCGTGGTTGCCGACGCCCTTTCCGACGCCTCTCCCCACGCCCCCGTCGCCCTTCCCGACGACGACCTACCCGACGCCGCTCCCTACGCCCCCCTACGACCCCCTACGGCCCCCTACGGCGCCCTACCCGACACCCCCGACGCCCTTCCCCACGGAGCCGTACCTGTCGCCCGCGCCGCTCTTCCCGACGACGCCCCTCCCGACGCCCTTCCCCGCGACGCCCTGCGCCCCCCTGCGGCCCCAGACGACGCCCTATCCGACGCCCACGACGCCCTCTCCCTCGGTGCCCCGCCCGACGCCCACGACGCCCTTCCCGACGACGACCTTCCCAACGTCGACTTTCCCGACGCCGCTCCCAACCCCACGACGCCCTGCGACCTGCCCAAACCCCTTCCCGACGACGCCCTTCCTGACGCCCTAGCCCACGCCCCACCCGGCACCGCACCCGTTGCTCTACCTCTCCACATCGGGGCGGCTGACCCCGATCTTCGACTACGTGCCGAGAGCAAGGATGATCTGACAAGAAATGGCGACACCGAGTCGCAAAGGAGGTTTGCTATCGGCGTTGGCGCGCCCAGCGACAGCCAGCGGACGTACAGCTACGAGTATCTGCAGGTGCTTGCCCGGATTCACGGCTGGCTCGGGGAGGGCCTCACGCATGAGGTCATCGCAGTGCGCTTGGAGGCTGCAGCTGCTCGCTTCCAACAGCGGGGGGCTGACCGACGCGACCGCCTGCTGATACGACGAGGGGCCGCGTATGCTGCCGCCGTGCTGTCTCTGCGTTCCTCGTTCCCCGCCGAGTACAAGTCGAAGGATAAGCTCATGAAGGAGGAGGGGCCGGCCAGCAGCCCGGCGAGCGGCGACAGCTGACTCTGCGCCACTGAGGGGGCGTCGGCTCTGATGTCCCTGCTCTGGGAGGCTGGCTTGTGCTGCGGCGCCGTGCTCGGCGCGCACCCTCCTTGAGGCGTTCTGCTCCGGCATTGCCGCCTCTCTTTTCCACCATTGACAATACTAGTATGTGCCTTGGTACTCTCGCGTTCATCTTGATTTGTTGGACTGGCATCTTCGAGGACCTCTTTAGGCTCGGTGCTAACTCCAGCCTCGTGTCGGCCGGTCGGTTGAGGACCTCTCGGGGCTCGCCTATTCTTCGCCGGTCTCGGGTTCGAGTTGACCCTTATATTGATTATATTTTCCGCCGAGTTTGGCACTGATTGGGCAGATTCTGTCGTATTGGTGCATCCCTGGCGCTTTGGTGAGTTTTTTCCGCCCATTCTGGCACTGAGCAGGCAGATTCTGTCTTTTTTGTGCCTCTCTGGCGCCTCGTTGTCGATGCCTCGGTATCTCTTCCTGCTGGAGGGTCCACGCTCCTCTCGTGCCCTGTGTAGTGCCATTTTGGCCATGACGCCCTGGTCGATGCACATTGAGTTGTGCGCAGGTGGGCCCGCGATCTGTGTGGAGCTGATGGTGGTGTGGGGAATGCCGGCGCGGGGGGGGGAGAAAAAAAAAAAAAAAAAAAAAAACTGTCTGCACTCGCGGAGCGGCCATCCCCGCTCACCAACGTTCAGCCTTCCGTGGGAGCCTCCGTCAAGCGAGCTGGGCGAGCAGAGCAGAGCAGCATAATTATCTAACCGCTTTGCTCACTCCGCCGGCCACTTTTCGCACTCCAGGAGGCAGTGCACAGGATGCTCTTGGGAGTTCTCCGAGGCTTTCGGGGACGTCTTAATCTCGAGCTTTTGGGGGGCTCTTTGGGGCCTCTTGGCGGCCTCCTGACCGCCTGTTGGGGGCCTGTTGGGGACATCTTGGGGCCTCTTAGGGACCTCTGGGGACCTCCTGGGGGCTGCGTATGGCCAATGGCTAGAAATTGTGTTTCGTGTTCCCCCTCTGGGGCTTCTCTTGCGGCGTTATTGGGGCCTTCTTGGGCCGTCTTGGAGTCGTCTTGGAGTCGTCTTGGGCGGTCCTGGTGCCCTCTTGGGCCGTCTTGGGGCTCTCTTGGGGCCCTCTTGGACCCTCTTTGGGCGATCTTGGGGACCTCTTGGGCCGTCTTGAGGCGTTGGGAAGCCGAAAAGGGGGAAACGCCCAAATCTGTCCAAAACCTTAGGGGGATCAGTGAATTTTACCTCTTGGGGCCCTCTTGGGAGTGCTTTTGGAAGCCTCTTGGGGCGTCTTGGGGCAATCTCGGGCATCTTGGAACGATCTTGTGGCATCTCGGAGCCCTCTTGTTCTATCTTGGGGGCCTCTGGGCCATTCTTGGGGTTTTCTGGAGGGCCTCGAGGGCGGCGCCCACCCGACCCGATCCGGCCGGGGATCTCTGACCCGAACCGGCCCGGGACCGCCCGGGGTACTTTTTGTCCGGGGACCCCCAGGGGCCGCTCCGCGCGCGCGAAGTAGAAATACTGTACGCAGTTATTGGAGATCTTCGCACGCCTCTGGCCCGTTGGGCCGGCGAGAGAAGGACGTAGATTGGCAGATTCCCGACCGCACGTGCGAGAAAGGTGGGCAGTGGCAGTGGCAAGCCGAGCGAGGAGATGTGTGTCCCCGCTCTGCAGCTCTCGCTGAAGCCCCTTCCACGCCGTCGGGATGAAGAATAGGTTGGCTCAATGTTGCGGCTCATGGTGTCGCCAGTGTCGCCTGGGAGTAGCTATCCTGGCATACATATTTTCCTCTACGTTTTCACCGTCCCTCTGAAGCCCAGCGGGGTTCAGGGGCGAGTGTGCAAGCCTCAGTAGACAAACGACATGGCAGTGATTCCAGTAGTTTCGTTCTCTTCCCCCTCAGCATTCGGGGCCTTGATACATGCGTCGCGTGTCTGGAAACTCGGGCAGACGAAAGCCGTGGTTGCCACCCGTGCTCACAGGTCCGTATCGAGGCGTGGCCGACTGTAGAGAAGGAGGAGGGGGAGGAGGAGGAGCAGGAGGAGGAAGAGGAGGAGGCGAACGAGGACGAGCACGAGGACGACGCAGCCAGAGTATGCAAGGACGGGAGACAGCGGCATGCAAATGCAGACTCCTTGTCTTGATGGCCCGGCTGATGGCTACTGCCGTGCCTCGGCCCGAGTCCTGGCGTGCATATGCCACGCCCGTTGGACAGGCAAAGTGTGAAATGTGGGACTGGCCAAAAGTCCAGAAGTGGGGGCGATTGCGAGCACAGTCTCACCTGTCTCGGCTGGGTTACTCGACCTCTGCAAGGCGGAGGGGAAATCTTTGGACCATGGAGCCCCAAAGCCTCTGATGTCTGCTGCGTCGTTGTGTCCCCGCCCCCCGGCGCCCAAGATTCCTGATCGTCGTCCTGCGTTCGTTGGTCTATACACTTTACGCAAATGTATGCGCTGGGAGACGGGCACGTCACGTTCTGCTCGGAAGTCGATTATATCGGAGTGCACGACTAAAGAGGAAGCGCTATGCCACAGTTTGTGCCGAGCTCATTTGAGTCGCCTGAGACGGGGGGCATATCTACTGGCGTGGGGGCGGGGGAGAGGTCGCTTGGGGTGGGGAGGAGATCGTCTGGGGGTTGGGAGGAGATCGCCTGGGGTGGGGCGGCGCAGAGCTCTGGCTGGGTAACGCGATGCCCCCTCGTACTGCCGCCAGGTGATCTGCGACGGGGACTGGAACCTCAGGACTCCTGCCCTGGGAGCCAGGGGCCCTGGGTGACCACCGGCTGGCCTTGGGGCGGCCGCGGCCAGGGCCCCAGAAGGTGATGTGGGCGCCGCCATTCGACCCAGCTACCGGCCGACATCTGTGCGCAGGGCACTTCGGCATGTGCCGGGCCCGCCGGCGGGCCCGCGGTGTCAGCTCCGATGGTGCGCCAGGTCAGGCGCGGGAGCGGGGGAGGAGTGCAGAACGTCCGGTCGCAACAGAGGAGGAGGAGGAGGAGGAGGAGGAGGAGGAGGAGGAGGAGCCTTTCGTTTGTCTTTCCGTGGTCCGTGTGCAATTGCAGGTCGCACGTTCTTCAATGTGTACCGGCTTTCATTTTCCGAACTAGTTATTTGGGCGCGTAGGCGCAACGATCGTCCGATCCGTGTCTGGGCATCGTCAAGAAGCAGGATGAGAAGGAGGAGCCTTTCGTTTCCCTTGCGCAGTGACCAGTTACATGTCACATGTTATTTAGATTTTGCTGGGCTGCATTGCCGGTGCCATTTCCTGTTCGCACAAACGCAACGATCGTCCGAACAATGTTCGGGCAACGCAAAACAGAATAAGAGCGGTAGGATGAGGAATTGGAGGTGGGGATACTTTGATGCCCAGCATGATTATTGCTGGATTTGGTGGGGCGACCAGTTGCAGCCACAACATACCTGCCCAGATCACCCCATGGGCGCCCCCTAGCGCAAGGTAGCTCAAGTTGGGCCTCCCTCCGCCCATCAGATGCCCCAGGTGCTCTCGCAATCCGGCTTTGAACTTGACTTCCGCCCGCTGTTTTCCCCACCTTGTCCGCTCGAGCTTCATCTGGAAATGACGCTGGCGGCGGCAATCCCGCATGGCGAGTCGAGGACGCTTAGCTTCAGGAGAGAAGGGGAGGATTGAGGATGGGCGGGGGCGAGGTCCTCCCGGCCTGCTCTCACTTCGATGTGTGCCTGACGGTAAGCAAGGCATCTCTCTGGCCCCGTGCACTTCCCCTCTCCGTCCCCCCCTCCCCCCCTTTTGTCTCACGGGTCTCCCCATTCCTTGGTGTCTACGTATCTCCCTTCACCTGGCGTCTGACACGTCCACCCTCGACTTCCTCGGCACGTCCTACGCTACACCCCACCATTCTTCCTGTAAAAGTCCCCATGGACCGCTGCTGGACCGCTTTCTGACCAGGATTCCTACCCTCATCGAACTGCGCTCTGAGCCCTCCATATTGCTCGTCGAGCCCCGCTCCGAACCCTTCACATCGCCCGCGGCGCCGCTGGCCCCCTCTTCGCCCTCCCTGTCGGCACGCCTTGGCTGCGCATCGCCCCTGGCCGCTGGCGGTGAGCTGCGCATCGCGGACTCCTAGCGAGCAACCATGGCAAGCTGCAACAGCTCCAACGACAACGAGCGCTCCGCATCTCGCAGTCCCCCTTCATAGCAAGCCTAAAGCCGCCGCCGACAGAAAGCTGGACATCGCGACCACGCTGGACGTCGTGATCGTGCTCATCGACAAGAAGACCGCCCCCGCGCTGATGACGCCAGTGGCTTCCTTGCCGCTCAACGTCGTGACGACGTCGTCGCAGCAGAACGCTCTTCGGGCTGCGCTACACCACTATCCTCTCGCACGGCACGCTCCGCCGTTCCCCCTGCATCCGCTGATCCGTCGGGCGACGGTCCCCGCCAGGAGGTTCCTCAATGACTAGATACATGGAAGCTGGCGGGTTCCCCACCTTCCATCGCAAACGCATCCACAAGGAGCCGCTCGCCCTGCCGCAAATGCCCCCCCCCCGAAGAAGTACATCCTACACCAGGTTCCGTTCCAGCTGCGCGCTCTTCCGGCCGCCCTGCAGAACTTGACTCCGCCTTAGAGAGCCTCATGCAGCATGAAGGAGCAGGACACCGTCGCTGCCGACGCTTGCCGCGTACAGGCCCTTGATCAGTCTCGCGAGAGCTCCCGCTCCCCCCTCCAGCAGCAACCCCTCCTGACCGAGCGCCGCGAGGACAACCTCCGCGACGCCGTCGCCCGCGCCTTCCGCGAGCAGGACCGGCAATCCGACGAGCAGAAGCGCAAGTGGCCGCATGTGGCATCAGATCGACCAGATGCGCGGCACCTTCGCCCGTGCCGAGGCCCAGATCCCGATCGTGGACATCGCGCGCCTCGCCGAATGGGGCCGCGTTCCTGACCCCGCGATCTTTTCCGCTGGCTGCCGGCGTTTCGTCTGGCCCGACATCTTCACCAATGACCTGCAGGAGTGGATCGGAGGCGCAGGCCTCCACTCTGACTATGTTGAACTTCGCGGCTACGAGCCTGCCCGCCGCTTCTTCCTGTAATAACCGGCGCCGGCGAAGTCGCAGTCCTTCGTGCCCTCACTCTGCAGCGCGCCGTACGTGGTGCTGCAGGGAAATGGAAGCGCTTCGTCACCACCGACACCGCTGGGCAGCGAGTGGACACCTACCTCAACGGCGACAAGTCTCCGAAGCTAATCTGCACTGAGATCCACTGCAAGAAGCGCCAATCGCTGCCCCAGCACCAGTGCCCCAACGTGCAGTGGCGGACCATCCGCAGCAAGGGCGAGATCCACAGCAATTCCGCGCCCGTCATCCGCCTCGGCATCCGCGGCCAGGCTGACCCCGCCGTCCTCGAGCGGAACGAGAAGGCCCTCGAGCTCCAGCAGTTCCCCGGCATCGACCGCGCGGCCGTCCTCTTCTCCTTCCAAGCTCTCTTCTCGAACACCGAGTCCGCCGCGTGGCGTTCCAAACCACTCGTGGGCGCCATGGCTGGCGCCCGAAGGCTCGTCGCCTGCCACCTGCGTCATCTGGAACGCCCGTTCGGCGATGAGCCGCAGGTGCTCTCGCCGCCGACGCAGGCGGGCCCCCTTCGCCAAGTATCTTCGGATCCGATGCGCTGCTCCGCGCGCGGGTGGACGCGCATCCGCGCCCGCGCAAGCACTTCCTCGCCGAGTTCGCATCCGACGAAGGCATCCCGTCCGCCGCCATCGGCGGCGTCGCCGCCCTTGCCTCCTGGCTCGCGCCGACGCAGCTCGAGCAGCTCCAGCGGGCCCGGCCCCCGATCATCCCGCGCAGCGCCCTCGCCCCTAGGCGCGCCCAGCAGCTCGCCATCACCGTCGCCGCCTCCCGCGACGCCCCGGCCCTGATGAACGCCCAAAACCAAGGGGCCCGCGCAGCATGGCATGCGCGCCGCGACCTGGCGGAGCAGGACTACCAGCGCCGCGCGCAACTGGCCATTGGCGACTTCCACGCGGAGAGCCGCCCCCCTCAACGGCTCCATTCATCCTTGGGCCCAGCATTCCCGCTACTCGATCGACTGCAGCGGCCGCCAGCAGCGGCCCCTCTGGAAGGAGCTCTTCGACTCCATGCCCGAGATCGAGTCGGACCTCCCGACCGGGATCAACAAGTCTGACTACGCGACGTCCGCGATCGACTGCGTCTTCATCGGCCCCCCTTCTCGCGCCACGCAAGAGCTCGCCCTCGGGTCGACGTCGCCCGTGGCGTCGCCCCCCTGTCGGACAGGCGCCTCGGCGACCGCGCCGTCGTCGCTTTCGCCATGGGCATCAAGCCGCGCGCGCGCGCCGCCCGCCGAGAAGGCCATCCCGCCCGCGATCTTCCGCAACCCGCACTACGTCGGCTACCTGTAGCCCCCGCGCCCCCACTGAGAACCGCCGGCGGTTGCGCGCGCGCCGCGTGGCTGAAGTTGCTCGCGTGGCCTGCCGTGCTTTGGTTTGCCTGTCCTCTGGCGACGCCGCCCGCCTTGGCTTCCTCGACGGCCGCGCCTTCGCCACTCGTTCAAATCTCCATGGCCGCGCGGCGCCGGGACACCCCTCGCCGGGCGCCTCGAGTCCGCCTCTGATCTCGGCGAGCAGTTCGTGCCCATCGTTGGCGGCGTCGTCGCCATCGGGAGCTCTGCCTTGTTCGCCGGCTTGGCGGCCCCCCTGAACCGCGATTTCGAGGCCCGCTGGTGCATTCTGGCTCCAAGCGCCGCTCGCGGCCCCCAATGGCTGGACGAAGCCATTCCCATCGGGCGCCTCCGCAGGTTGCATCGGGCCCCCCGCGCACGGGCGCCACTCTGGGCCCCCTGGATGCGCCGTCTTGTCTCCCAGGGAAATGCGACCCAGGGCCCCCGGGGCCGCCCGGCAGGGACGGCTGGAGAGAGCCCCGCCGCGGTCGATGCCCTGCGCGCGCGTGAGGGGGCCCATCTTCGCCGCGAAGGTGGTCGACGACTCCGAGGTGCACCGGCGCGTCGAGCAGCGCGCGCCCCGCGGCGATGCGATCGGCGCCGGCGCCCCGTGCAAGCGCCGGATCAAAGCGCCCCTCCGCGCCTGCCCGCCGGCCCCCGGCCCGGGCCGCTCGCCGTGCAGCGCGTGGCTCGCCCGCGACCGCGCCCTCGACGTTATGGGGGGTATATCCTGCTTCCTCTGCTCGGGCCAGTTGATCTCGCGGGGCCTCGGCGAGTCCGATTTCGCTGTCGCACCGAATGGCGACAATCTCATTGGGGAACTCACCGCGGACGCGGGCCCCCGAGGACATGCGCCCTCTCTCCCTGAAGAACGCGGACATCATAGCCATCGCTGGCGCCGCAATCAACTCCGCGAGGAAGTTTTCCGCGCAGCGAACTCACGATGCGCGGCAGGGCTTCGTCGCGGGCCGCAATTTCGCCGAACGCGTCGCCCGCCCCCGCGCAGCGACGCGCCGCGCCGGCCTCCTGGCCGACAGCATCGACCACTTCCTAGTCTTCATCAGCTTCGACTTCGCCGCCGCGTTCCCGCCGCCCAGCAGGGCCTGGCCGCTCGCGTCGCCGAAGCACTTCGGCGCCCCCGATGGCCTGCTCAACGACTTCCGCGCCGTGCAATTCGCCCCGCCCCCGTTCTTCGCGGTCGACGGCATTTGCCGCGCCGCGTTCGCCATCGAGTCGGGCGTTGCCCAGGGCGGCTTCACCAGTGGATCAGCGCGGGCGGTTGCCATGGGCCCCCCTGGCGCGCCGCGTCGCCCCCTTCGTGGGGAAAGCCAGCGGCGCGCCCGACCCGCCCCTAAGTTACGCGGGCGCCTGCGCCGACGACCTGGGGCTCTTGCGCAGCAA